ATCTTATGCAACATTTATTCAAAGTTATGCCTCTGACAACTCATTTGCAAAGTGCATATTCATACATTTATCAGAGATGGGAAACAGCTTTTTATACCTAATTTGACAGAAAATGCAAAGTTGCATATGATATTTGAAATGCTTTTACCTTCTTAATTCTACAGAAGAACTTTTTCTCTCCAAATTTCTAGGAAATGGATTCGTATTTAATTGAAAATATGAAGAACATTTTTGTCCGTGAATTCTAGTCATTCCATTATTTTTTTTTTTCGTTACAGGGCTACATTATCGTCAAAAATGCCTATTGGGATACCTCGCTTTTGCCGGTGGCTTTACCCCCAAATTCATATAAAATTGTTTTAACATTTTATGAAGATTATCCAAAAGCAAATTATAGTTTTGTGGCATACTATATTGAATATATAGAAATAAAAGCTAAGCCCCGTAAAGGATAAGGGAAAAGTGGAGGAAATTCGCCGCTGAAAGAAAGCAAATCCAATAGAAATATAAATGTTTACACAAACAAATATACATATTATTTTTGGCATACCTAAATGTAGATTTTTCCTCTTATTTTAGAAATTATTTATTATACCCTACAACACTATGTGTTGGGGATATTATAAGTTTGATTGGGCCAAAAATTATGTAACACCTCGAAATATTGATTTCCCACATAGGAAAGTATATATGGATCTTCCTATCTCGCCGAGCTGAGTCGATCTAGCTATGTATGTCCGTCCGTCCGTCTGTCCATGTTAATTTGTAATCACTCTACAGGTCGCAATTATGGCCCGATCCTCTCGAAATTGAGATGGGGTTGAGGCCAGAATAGAACCCTATTTCTTTTGGAGATGAGGTGTACATTTTGTAATACTTTTTTTACCTTACAACACAGGTTGGGGCTTTTATATACAGATTGCAATTATCGTCCGATTATCACGAAAATTTTCATAAGGGTAGGGTTAGGCTCAGAAGAGCTAAGCCTATTGTTTTCAAAGATGTCCGCAATATATTAAGGGGTTGAAATGGACCAACAATTAAAAATTATCTGATTACACGAAATCTCGCATGAAGTTGGAGTTTAGGACAGCGAGTAGAATGGACCACTATTTTTTTTTTTTTTTTTGGAAAAAAATTCCAACATTACTTACAGGAGATATCCGGAATACACAAAATGCGAACTTCTGGCTTTTTATGCAGATTTCGTTGACGAATATAGCCAAATATCGTAGACGAGCAAATCATATAGATGAGTGTAAATTTGGGAGAGGACCAATAATTTTGGAGATGATCGCAAAATATTAAGGGGTTCAAATGAACCAAAAACAGAAAAAATTTCTTGATCTAGCAATTGATGCTAGAGAGTTAAGGACAGGGAATAAGTCTAGCATTTTGGATGACCACTGGATTATATTTAGCTGTAAAATGGACCACAGCAACTAACAGCACGATGAAGTGCGTAAATATTGGGCAAATATTCCTAGTCAAAATGCTAAAGGTAATATGTGGGCAGTGCTTCGTGACATAATTTCAAAAGCGAAATCTTCCAAAATGGATTTGGACATAAAGGGCCTTCTGACATGTTGTAGTGTTGTAGGGTATCACATGGTCGGCAAGGGCTATTGTGGCATATTAAAGTTTTTTATACCCTCCACCATACATAGTATAGAGCGTAGAATATTCCGTTTGTAACTCAAGAATCAAAACAAATGTAAACGAAAAAGGAATGTTTGGTGAGAAAAGCAGTGATCGTAATTATATTATTATGAAATTTTATCATGTTATAACTTATACAAAGAGAAACGAAATAGTAATCGAACATGGCTAAAATGGCAAAAAGCTGTAATGTATAGATTAACATACGTTGTTCGATAATACAAAGTGAGAGCGAATGAAGAGAGCAATTTTGAAATTTGATTTACTGAGACGATTCTTATTGGGAAAATTTTCTCATCAAATTTTTTCATCAGCTGAAGCCGGAAGAAAGCAGCAACATCAGGAGAAATGGTTCGAAATGTAAAGAAGCGACTTGATCGAAACCCGCGTCGCAGTGGCCGAAAAATGACTCGTGAGCTAAACATATCGCAATATTCCATTCGGCAAATATTGAAAAATGAGCTCGGGGTAAAGCCATCGAAATTCCAAAAAGTGCAAGAACTGACACCGCAACAGAAAGAAAATACACTCAAAAGAGCTAAAGAGTTGCTTCGCTTGGCCGAAAGTGGTGAACTGCCGAATTTGGTTTGGTTCTCCGATGAGGAAACCTTCGTTGTCCAGCAGTTTGTAAACAAACTTACCTTCAGTTAGCCACCAGAACTCAAGCGTCGGCCATGGTGATGGTGTGGGCCGCCATAACAGTCGATGGTGGCATCAGAATAATTGCCGAATATTATCGCGAAAATATTCTGGAGGGTGTATTTAAGCCGTGGTCACGCAAACATTTTGCCCGCAGACCTTGGACATTCCAACAGGAATCAGCACCATCGCACTCAGCACGCGCCACCCAAGAGTGATTACAAAATGAGATTCTTCGCTTTATTTCCAGCGCACAATGGCCACCAAATTCTCCAGACACCAATCCGTTGGACTATTGTGTCTAAAGTATTTTTGAAAGCAAGGTTGGTACTAACAAATACCAAAGTGTCGATTACCTCAAGCAAGCGCTTCGCCGGGAATGGGCCAAAATACGGCAGAGCAACATTCGGGCAGCATGTGACGGTTTCATTGGAAATTTGAGGACCACAATTTTTTCCAAAGGTTACGAATTCGAACAAATCTAAACTTATTCTAAAATTTTATGCTATTTCCGACATTAAAAAAAAAAAAAAAACATTTAAAAAAAATGTAAAAATGATTTCGTTTGACTTTGTTGCAGTTTTTTATCTCACCCTGTAGATATTTGTTAAGCTTAACTCTACTAAATATGCCTAGTGATGAAGGGTATCATATGGTCGGCCCCTTCCTTGTTGTTTTCTTTCTTTCTGACTTTTTATTTCATTATATTTATACCCTCCACCATATTATCGAGGGTATATGAACTTTGTCATTCCGTTTGTAACTCCTCGAAATACTCATGTTAGACCTAACAAAGTATATATATTCTTGATCAGCGTGAAATTCTAAGTCGTCTGTTGTAATCACGCTATCTTTTGAACGAATTGAGATAGAAGGCTAAAATTTTGCACACATGTTTATACCCTACACCACAAGGTGGTCAGGGTATTATGTCTTTGTGCATTTGTTTGTAACAGGCAAAAGGAAACGAGATAGACCCATAGCTTCTTTTGATGATCTGCGTAGAATCACTTTCTGAGTTGATTTATGCATGTCAGTCCGTCTGTCCGTCCGTCCGTCTGTCCATGTATTCTTGTGAACAAAATGCAGGTCGCATTTATTATCCGATTGAGATGAAATTTTGCAAACAACATTTGTTTGGCCCAAGGACGAACCCTATTGAATTTGGAGATAATCGGTAAAAAATTTAGATATAGCTCCCATATATATCTTCGTCCGATTTGCTTTTTATTGTGCACCAAACGTGTAATATCAGCCTGAATAGTATGGAATTTTGCACATACAACCAAATTAGGCCTGAAAATAAGTATGCCAAATTTTATCGAAATCGGTTCAGATATAGCTATAGCTCCCATATATATTGTTCATCCGATTTGTTATTTTTGTCCTCCGCAGCCGTAATATGCACTCTGTAACAACAATATTTGGGGAAATATATCAAATGCAGCTCAGAAATACCTTTGCTAAATTTTATCGAGATCGGTTCAGATTTGGATATAGCTCCCATATATAACTTCGTCCGATTTACCATTTATTGTGCACCAAACGTCTAATATTTGTCCAAATGGGATGGAATACGACCGAATTTAGTCTAGAAAGTAGTATGCCAAATTTGGTGAAGATCGGTTCAGATATAGTTATAGCTCGCATATATATTGTTCATCCGATTTATTGTATTTGTTACCCACAGCCGTAATATGCACTCCGTAACAACGATATTCAGGGAAATATATCAAATACAGCTCAGATATATCTTTGCCAAATTTTATCGAGATCGGTTCAGATTTGGATATAGTTCCCATATATATTTTTATCCGATTTCAAATTAATTGTGCACCAAATGGGCAATACAAGTCCGAATTTAAAAGATACAAATGCTTCGGCATATTTAGTCCTTTGAATTTTAAATTATAATTATAATCATAGGGTGTATGATTGAATTCTCCCATAAAAACTTTTAATTATTAAGTGGAGCTCAACTAAATTAGCAAAGTGGTGTAGGGTATCATAAAATCGGCCCCACCCGACTTTAGGACTTTCTTTACTGGTTTTTTTTTCCAGTAGACAGATTAAGTTCGTAAATAGGCCATGAAGGTCCACGTTTTCATATAGCCCCCCAACGGTACCTCCCTATATTCGGTATTTTGACGATTTTATGTACAATTACCACCGAAATTGTGTGAGATGTCGTATTTAAACTTCGTAATGGATGCTACAGCCTGTGACAGAAAATTGTCTATGCTGGTCCAAGTCTTCGCACAGCTCCGATGCAACGGTACCTCCCTATATACAATATTTTGATGATTTTAGCTACATTATTCACCGTTTATTTCAAGTTTCGAATTTGAATATGCTAATGGCTTATGACAAACAATGCCTATGTAGGTATTTTTAAAATTTTTTTAAGAATTTTTTAAGGATTTTTATTTTTTGAAAATTTCCAAATTCGTTAAAAATTGTGGAGGGTATTCAATGTTCGGCCCGGCCGAACTTACTGCTTTTTAAATTGTTTTTTTTTTTTTTTTATCGAAATTGAGAGCATGTATCTAGCAAAGAATAATCGTTGGCCTATATGGACCATTAATAAAATATATAATTGTTTATATCCCAATTTTAATTTCATTAATGGACCATTTAAAATTGTTGACATAGATTTATATATTAATTTGTAATAAACCCGCACAATTAATGGAAATCAAAAATTTTATCTCTACCATACGCTTTTTTATTAATTAAATGCAATAAAAATTCTTGTGAAAAAAATAATTGAACTTGATGGAGAAAAATACAAGGTTATCTACATTCAATTTTAGTTTTTTAATCTAAGATAAGGATCCAACTTTGAGGCTCTCATTTAATTCGATTCCTTTTGGAATTTTCTCAATTCCTTTTGTATGGCCTCAATGAGTGGTGCGGCGGATAGATCCTGAACGTGGCGTGTGGATGAAATTTGAGGCTGGATTTCGGCTGGACGATGAAAGGGCCCGGCACTCATGGGTCTTACCATGGGCGAGTGAGAACCATAGATGCTGCCACCATCCCAGGCGCCCACAGTGGGAGAGGGGGGTTGTGTTGAGTGATTGGATTTGGTGGTTTTTAAGGGTTGAGCTGTTGACGGGCGATTATCGCCAGTTTGGGTTTTCAGATTCGCACTGGAAAAGATGGAAGAATATAACAAAAAGATAACTATTTATGAAAATTGTTCGTATGCTTACTTCGAGGCCCCCGCAGATGAGCCACGTAATTCACGTTTGGTTGGCTTGCGATTATTGGTGAAATCACGATTCGGCAGTGGCATGGGTAAATCATCTTGGCTGGAATACATTTGTATGGCGCCCTCGAGTAGACCTTCGTAATGGTTGCGCATGGCAGCTGGATCTCGCGATGGACTATAATAATCGAAATTTCTATCGCCATGATCTCCATAGTCTATTGATGGGCGCAGACGTTTACAGGTGATGCCGGGCAGCAGAATAAGAGATGAAAAATTTCATGAGAAGAGGAAATTAGAAGAAGAAGAGATGCTTAGTAACGTTGTCTGCGTTCGTAATTACCATTGTCCAAAATATCATCGGCACTTAACCGCTTCTTGTGCCTCTCCCAAACAATGGGTCCCACAACACCCGGATCGGGATTATCACTCTGTGAGGCAAAACGCTGTACTTTTTGTGGAGCTTTGGGCGTGGGAAATCCCTCAATGGTGGCTATTCTGGTGGCATCCAGTGGCATCTGATCATGGGACATACGTTTTTTGTGCTGATTCCTAACCGATTTCGCCGAAGTTTGTGGGACATTTTCCACATTGTCATAATAGGTCACAAAGACCGGTTCGAGAACACGATTAAGAGGCTCGGGCAATGTAGTCTTCGGGAAGGCCTTCACCGACTGCATTGACAAGAAAGATCCTATGCTACCTGAGTCCGATGATTTCTCCGTTGGCTGCAAGGCCCTTATAATTTCCTTATTTATTGCCTCTGTGGAAGGATGCTGCTGCTGATGGTGGTGATGTTGTCGCTCCAGCTGGTCACCCCTGTCCGTGTAAATGGTTTTTTGATGCAGCAGCTTGTTGCGATGATAATTCGTGTGGGGATTAAAGGCCTCATTTGGAGGATCAAAATTAACATAGGTCCTATCCAACTCATCACCAGAGTAATCTCGTTGGCTTTGTACCGGACTCGTTTCAAGAGAACCGACACGATTTTCCGATAGGTAACGCCTCTTGGGTTTGTGTCGTGATTTGTCGCGTTTCTTTTCGGAAATAACTGTTGTATAGATGGCCTCTTCATTGCTTTCTGCCCGATTGTATTTACCCAGATGACGTGCGCGGTTGCGTTCAAAAAGTCCATTGGATTTTTCATCCAACATACGCTGTACATCTGCCGAGGGAGGATTGATGGGACAATAAACCGAGGAGTCGGAAGTGTTATCAGAAGAGGTCACCGAAGCTCTACGTTGACTTTGGTCAGGTGGACCAGGGAAGTGTATGCGTGGTTCTCGTGTGCTACGACCACTTTCGTGTTCAAATGAAAAGTTTTGTATGCCAGCGTCGCGGGATTCGCCGGTTCCTGTAGTACGTCCTGTGTCGGGTGCAGTTGCACTTGATGTGGGCCGGCCGGAGTGGGTCTCGGATATAAGTTCATTGCGACTTGTGGTTCTAAGAAAATAATTAAACGGAACTCTCATAATTCGCTTCTCTCTCACTGACTTACTCTCTTATATAGTCCTTACCTATTGATTTGCTCATTTTTATGCCTCACATGTGATCGTCCCATCAAGAGCAGGGCAATGAGCAAGAGGAATAACAACAATATTGCAATGGAACTCACAATCACCAAAAGCGGATTGTTTTGTATGGAATCAATAAAGCCATGTGTGCCACCGCTGTGAGTTGCCGGTGCCAAGGGTGTGGCTTGAGGTTCACGAAGATAGGCTAAATTTAAAAAAAATATTGGAGTTTAAATAGTCTTTATTTATTTCGAAATTTATTCATCTACATACGTTCGGCTTTCATAATAATCTCTTTGCCCAATACTGTGGATACCTCTGATTCGCTGACTAATTTCATATCATTGGCAGCTGTAACCGCCAATACTGGCCTCCCATTAACAAACACCGAATAAATCAGCTCTGTTTGATTCGTAAGGGGTCGTTCATCTCTGGAATTTATAGAAAATACAAATAAATAATGATTTAATGTTTATATTTTAAATTTTAAACTTATCAAATACTATTAATTATTCACAATTAAAAATTTGAAAACTATTCAAAATTCTTAAAAAAGGAGATTTTGGGTTTGATATTGAAGAATATTCATAATATATTTATAATTATGAATATATTTTTATAAAAAATCAATTTAGACCTTGAAAGATATCCCAAAGATGTCCTTGAAAAACATTACTCTCCACCATTTGGGCGAAAAAGAAAATTTTTAAAAAAATAAAATCCATTAAAAATTCTGTTAAAATCTTAAAAATACCGAATATCGAATATTATCGCGAAAATATTCTGGAGGGTGTATTAAAGCCTTGGGCACGCAAACATTTTGGCCACAGACCTTGGACATTCCAACAGGACTCAGCACGCGCCACCCAAGGATGGGTACAAAATGAGGTTCCTCGCTTTATTTCCAGTGCACAATGGCCACCAAAATCTCCGGATACCAAACCGTTGAACTATTGTGTCTGGAGTATTTTGGAAAGCAAGGTTGGCACTAAAAATTGCCAAAGTGTCGATCACCTCAAGAATGGGATTGGGCCAAAATACCACAGAGCAACATTCGAGCAGAGTGTGACGGTTTCATTGGTCGTTTGAAGGACATAATTCATACCAAAGCTTAGTGGTTGAGGTCATATGGGAACAGCGGTCAAAAATACTTTCAGTGCAGATATCAATATGAATCTTTGGTTATGGTACCTTGATGGGATGAAAATAAAAAATGTGACAATATGGATATGGTCGATGCATGTTTTGGCATGGTCGCCTTACAACGTACCTCCCGAATAATGGTTATTTGCCCAACTCTTGTCACATTTCTACACCAGATTGTAATGTTATTTGACATTTTACGTTCTAAGGAGTTAAAAAATAATCTTCTTGAAAATTATTTGGAACAGCCCGCCTTCAGGTAGAGTCCCCTAGTCGAAGTCCAAATTTGATTATTTTTTGTAAACAAAATAAAATAACAATTTAATGTAAAATTAAATCAAAGTTAAATTTTGCACAAATAATTTGTTTGACTTAAGGCCCTATTGAAATTGGAGATAATCGGTCAAAATTTTGGTATAGCTCCCATATATATTCATCCAATTTGCCTTATATTGTGCACCAAACTTGTAATATCAGCCCAAATAGTATGGAATATACGTACGACCAGATTGGACCTGACAATAAGTATGCCAAATTTGATCGAAATCGGTTCAGACATATAGATATAGCTCCCATATGTATTGTTCTTACGATTTGTTATTTTTGTCCTCCGCAGCCGTAATATGCACTCTGTAACAACGATATTTGGGGAAATGTATCAAATATAACTCAGAAATACCCTTTCTAAATTTTATCGAGATCTGTTAATATTTGAATATGGCTCAAATATATATCTTCGTCCGATTTGCCTTTTATTGTGCACCAAACGTGTAATATTAGCCCAAATCAAATTTAGATATAGCTCTCCTATATATCCAATTTCAAGTTAATTGTGCACCAAATGGATAATACAAGCCCGAATTGAAAAGGCGCAAATGCCTAGACAAATTTAGTAGAAATCGATTCAGAGGAGGATATTCCTCCCATATATTAGTTCCTTTGGACTTTTAATTATTACTATAATCATAGTTGGTATGAGTTGATTCTCACAAATTCCCCATTAAAACCTTTATTTGTTATGTGACGCTCTACTAAATATGCAAAGTGGTGTAGGGTATCATGAAGTCGGCCCCGCCTGACTTTAAGATTTTCTTTACTGGTTATTGTTTGGGTCAGAGCTCAGAAGAAGACGGTTAATAAGATCTGTGTTTGTTGAAACACAAGAATTTTTCGGGTATGATTTAGTCGAAACTTTCGTATATCTTTGTTTCTAGACTCCACGGCATCCTCCGAAAATTATCTAATCGATATAATGACAAATTTATAATGTCGGGTGCATATATTTAATGAACTGTGGGTGGAAGATAGTGCCATGGATATATATTTGTTAACTCTTTAGCAGTTTTCAGTGCAAAGGCCTTAAAATTCTTCGACATTAATATTATACCCTGAAGACAATGCTTGCAACATTATTGAACACCCCTCAATTACATCCTTATCAATCCCAAACAACAAAAACATATTCTATGTCACTAGCACCATAGAACTGACAAAATTGCAGCGAAGTCACTTCAGTATATTGGGCATAACGTACACATCTGACATAATCTGAAAGTTAAATTAGAACTTTTAGAATCTTAGGGCCATTCACGAAATTTAAAATGTAGGTGGGGTTAATGTCAGAATAGAACCCTATTTCTTTTGGAGATGATCGCCAAATGTTTAGGGGTTGAAATGGACCAAATACTGAAAAAATGTCGGATTTTGCAATAGCTATATAGGTCGCAATTATAGACCAATCGACGCGGAATTTCGCATGTAGCTAGAGTTTAGGGCGGGGAAGAAGCCTACCAATTTGGGTGGTCATCGGATAATATTTAGCGGCTAAAATAGACCATATCTTTTTTGTTGAAAAAATTCAAAATTGTTCATTAAACCGCGAATATTTTAAATCCCGGCGAAATCACAAAGCCATGACAAGGTTACTTCTGATCTTTACATTGATGTTAAGATCCAACAAATCGAATATATAGCAAAATATGTGCGATATATATGTCTATCAAAGAAGATATGCTTGAAAGATCTCTTATATGTCGAGAACGGCTGAACTGATTTCGACAGTTCTCATTAATTCTGAATGGCCTCTTGGCAGAAAAGAAAAAACGCCTAAAAAGTCGCATAAAAATATCTCTCTAAAGATGAAAATATTAATTTTGTAAATTTTCTCATATTTTTTCAATTTTGTCATATTTTTGGCATATTTTCATTTTGAATTAAACATTTGGTAATATTTCTAAAGCTAACAAAACTAAGTAGTTAGGATATCAGATATCATATACAAATCGCATTTATGGCCCGATCCTTACGAAATTTTGCATGGAGATAAGATGAGGGTCAGAATAGAAGCCTACTCTTTTTGGAGATGATCGCCATATATTTAGGGGTTGAAATGGACCAAAAAACTGCAAAATTGTCAGCAGGACGTAATTATCGCCCGATCCTCAGGCACATTTGAATGGGGGTTACCGGACATTGCAAAAGCCAAGCAGTTTTGGATGGCTATCCAAAAATATTCAATGTGTAAAGGAGTTTGCCAACTTTTGTAGACAAAATACGAAAATGTCTACTCCAGTGACTTTTTGGAGAATTCACAAATACAGGAAAGACGCACTTCTGACTGTTTCGTTAACGCTGATTTCGTTGAAGAATATAGTCAAATGGCTGTATCTCATATAGATGCGTTTCAGTCAAAAACCAATAATAAATGTTAATCTTTTGCCACTTCTGAGAGATTATGGGTCTTTGGGAAATATTGGTTCCATTTATAGGACGACCATTTAAGTGCAACATCTACCAATAAATTGGAAATGAGCAAATTAGTTTAAGTTGCTATTATTCGAAAATTAGAGAACGAAACCTGATGGTTTTCTCTTATTATTTGTCACAATATCTTGTGGAATTCTTTCGAGTATCTCGCCTATATAAACTGTATCGTTTATTATAGTTTTGTAGGGTATTCAACGGTCGGCCCCGCTCGACTGTAGCCTTTGCTTACTTGTTTTAAAATGTATTTAATTTTGTAATCCAGTTTTATTTTTACTCCACTTTTTCTCTGATCCCACTGAAAAAAGCAACTAACTAAATTTTCTCTTTTCTGATGCTATTTTTGAAGTGGGCCGTTAGAATAAAGCCAAGATTATTATGTTTTCTAAAAAGCTTAACCCCTTAAGAGTTCATATGTACACATTTGACAATAAATATCTGATTTTCATTTTTGGAATTTTGGCCAATGGCAGTGACCACTGTGCAAAGGTGACCAATTCAAACAGATCTAAACTTATTCTAAAATTTGATGCTATTTCCGACATTTTTTGCTTTCACTCAATAAAATTTAAAAAAAATTGTAAAAATTATGGAGTTTGACTTTATTGCAGTTCTTTTATCTCACCCTGTATAGTGGAGGGTAAAAAAAAAACTTCTCTACAGCCCTTGAAAAAATATGCTTTAATATAGGATTTTTAAAGCATATTTTTTCAAGGGCTGTAGAGAAGTTTTCTTAAAGAATCCGCGGTTGTGCTTGAAAAATATTATACAATATACTTGGTTCGAATTCGATAGTCCTTTAAAATATTTCTTAATAAATCCACGATTATGCCACGAGAGTTCTTAAAAAATATTTAAAAATATTCTTTAAAATCCACTAGTATGCCACGATGGTCCTTGAAAAATATTCTTCAATAACCTTCATTATAAGTCGATAGGCCTTAAAATGATTTCTTAAATAATCTTGGAGTATGCCTCGGTAGAATAATATTCTCCAAGAGTCCTTGATAATGATTCGAAAGTCCTTGAAAATATTTCTTAAAAAATCCACAGTTATGCTCCGATAGTCCTTGAAAAATATTCTTTAGAAATCTTTGATTATGATTCAATACTCCTTAAAAATACTTGTAATAAGTCCAGGATTATGCCCGATAATCCTTGAAAAATATTCATCACGAATCCTTGATTATAATTCGACAGTTTCTTAAAATAATAACAGGATTGTGTTTTGAAAAATATTTGCTAGAATATGAGCACATGGGTCAATGCACTTTTTCTCTTTTATGCCACAACCGCTCATCACACAAACATAATTATGTGGCTGTATATGAACATATTTAATGACCAATCATGTTTCGCTTACGTTTTATCATTGATAATCTCCCCATCGTATATTGCCGACGACACGCCATACATTCCACCATTGTCATCATCGGCATTGTTGCGTTCCACATCATCCGCCGTTAGTTGGGTGATATTGTGAATGACAACACGCACCTGATTATCACGTATGTTTAAAGGGGGTGGCAGAGGTGACGGTGCGGAAATAGCTGGTCTCTGTTGTGGTTGTAACAAGCGTGTGGCTGGGTGCTGTTGTTGTACAAGAGCTGCTGCTGCCAGCGTTTGTTTTTCCGACTTGGAAGCATTGTTTTGTATTAATTCCCATGGCACGGGGGTGACTTGAGCTGCTGCTATATTTGAAGATTCAACTTGCATATCGGATTCGTTATAGGAATAACCGAATGTCACGGATTCGGTAATGTTGTTCTCTTCGGAAGAGGAAATCATTTCAGATTTTCTATTTATCGGATATGCCGGAGATCGAAATCGTACTGTGGATTTTGTATTGTTGGTCATGTCCAATAGTTCGGCATCGTAATCGGGAGGGTCTAAGAAAAATCACATTTATGAAAGTAAATGTTAATTTAAATCAAATTCAAAGTTCATACCTTGAGTGGTGCTGCTACCCACTTCGCTCCTTTGAACCTTCTTGTCATCATCATCGTCTGATTTAAAATGCCTTCGATCACGTCCAGCCGTAATGGAAATGCCTGATATCTGTTGAGCTCCATTTATACCCAAATGTTTGGTTTGTTGCCTGTATGAGAATATCAGACATATAATATTGAAATTGTTGTTATTGTAGAGTTATATTTTTTTCACCTGGTAAATGCCAAACGATATAGTCTGGCCAACTTTTCTTCCAACATCGGATTATCTTTCTGTGTATAAAATCCCGACATGACAGTTAGCAACCAATAACGTCTATCGGTGGCAGAGTAATTTAAGGGTGGTGCTCCAGCCCCATTCCATACGCCGTCTATACCCACAGTACCTTCTCCATAGCAATCGAGACATATGGGAATATCAACTTCCTGTAATACATAGAAAAGGTGAGTTAAGCTTCGCTGCCTAGAAAAATATTAGCCTAGCCAAATTTTCAATATCCTTCACCCCAAGACAAAGGTACCCTTTAACCAGTAAAGAATTATCAAAAGACCATCGCGGTCGACTTTATGATAACCTATACCCTAATACCCTGATGTGCTATTTACATCCAAAATAAATTCATCAGACATATAATGATCCAATTCGAACTGTGCACAATAACCCTGAAATCTGATGAAGATGAAGCTACATCCAAATCTGTACTGATATTGGTAAAATTTAGCAGAGGTATTTATGATATCTGGTGCCAAATATCATCGTTCTGAAGTCTATATTACCAATGTGAGCGACTTAAAACCCAAATCGGATGAAACATATATATATAGGAACTATAGCTGATAAATATAAAGGGTGAGATGAAAAAACAGACTGCTGTCATTTCTAAGCCACTCGTCCGACAGCTGTTAAAATTATTCCAGTGATAGATCATTATATTGTTTACAAGTGTAAAAAAGCATTTTGATGAGAATTTTCAAGAAAAAAAGATATTCGTGATGGAAATCAAGCGTGATAGTGTGATTTCTTTATATTTGGCTGGAAAACCACAAGTGGCTATCGTTAGAGCACTCCAGCATTTAAATGTGAATAAATCTTTTGTGTCTCGTACCGTGAGATAAACCAGTAAAGAAAATCTTAAAGTCGGGCGGGGCCGACTTTATGATACCCTACACCACTTTGCTAATTTAGTAGAGCTCCACATAACAATTAAAAGTTTTTATGGGAGAATTCAATCATACACGCTATGATTATAATTAAAACTTAAAGTTCAAAGGACTAAATATGCCGAAGCATTTGTATCTTTTAAATTCGGAATTGTATTGCCCATTTGGTGCACAATTCATATGAAATTGGATAAAGATATATATGGGAGCTATATCCAAATCTGAACCGATCTCGATAAAATTTGGCAAAGATATTTCTGAGCTGTATTTGATATATTTCCCTGAATATCGTTGTTACGGAGTGCATATTACGGTTGTGGGTAACAAATATAACAAATCTGATGAATAATATATATGGAAGCTATAGCTATATCTTAACCGATCTTCACCAAATTTGACATACTAGCTTCTAGACTCAATTCGGTCGTAAGTGCCAAATTCCATCCCCTTTAGACAAATATTAGACGTTTGGTGCAAATTAAAGGTCAATCGGACGAAGTTATATATGAGAGCTATATCCAAATCTGAACCGATCTCGATAAAATTTAGCAAATGTATTTCTGAGCTGCATTTGATATATTTCCCCAAATATTGTTGTTGCAGAGTGCATATTACGGCGGCGGTGGACAAAACTAACAAATCGGATGAACAATATATATGGGAGCTGTAGCTGTATCTGAACCGATTTCGATCAAATTTGGCACACATATTTTCAGGCCTAATTTGGGTGAATATGCAAAATTCCATACAATTCGGGCTGATATTACACGTTTGGTGCACAATACAAGGCAAATCGGACGAAGATATATGTAGGAGCTATATCTAAATTTTGACCGATTATTTCCAATTTCAATAGGGTTCGTCCTTGGGCCAATCAAATGATCTGTGCAAAATTTCATCTGGATCGGGCAATAAATGCGACCTGTACTTTGTTTACAAAAATACATGGACAGACGGACAAACGGACATGCATAAATCGACTCAGAATGTGATTCTATGCAGATCATCAAAAGGAACTATGGGTCTATCTCGTTTCCTTCAGCCTGTTACAAACAAATGCACAAAGACATAATACCCTGACCACCTTGTGGTGTAGGGTATAAAAACTGCAACAAAGTCAAACGCAATAATTTTTGCATTTTTTTATTAAATGAAAGCAATAAATGTCGGAAATAGCATCAAATGTTAGAATAAGTTTAGATTCATTCGAATTGGTCACCTTTGGCACGAATTATGGCCTTCAAATGGTCAATGAAACCGTCATTCCCGGCGAAGCGATTGCTTGAGGTCGATATTTTTTAGTGCCAACTTTGCTTTCCAAAATACTCCAGACCCAATAGTCCAACGGATTTGTATCCGGAGATTTTGGTGGCCATTGTGCGCTGGAAATGAAGCGAGGAACCTCATTTTGTAACCATTCTTGGGTGGCGCGTGCTGTGTGCGATGGTGCTGAGTCCTGTTGGAATGTGCAAGGTCTGCGGCCAAAATGTTTGCGTGCTCAAGGCTTTAATACACCTTCCAGAATATTTTCGCTATAATATTCGGCATTTATTCTGATGCCACGGTCATTTAATAAGAGCGGAGAGCGACCATCGGCTGTTATGGCGGCCCACACCATCACCATGGCCGACGCTAGAGTTCTGGTGGCCAACCGAAGGTGCACATTTTCAGCTGACCTCTTTGGCAAGTATACACGATCATTTTGTTTGTTTACAAACTGCTGGACAGCGAATGTTTTCTCATCGGAGAAAACCAAATTCGACAGTTCACCACTTTCGGCCAAGCGAAGCAACTCTTTAGTTCGTTTGAGTCCATTTTCTTTCTGTTGCGGTTTAAGTTCTTGCACTTTTTGGAATTTCAATGGCTTTACCCTGAGCTCATTTTTCAATATTTGCCGAATGGAATATTACGATATTTTCAGCTCACGATCCATTTTTCGGCCACTGCGAAGCGTGTTTCGATCAAGTCGCTTCATTACTTTTCGAACCATTTCTGCTGATGTTGCTGTTTTCTTCCGCCCATTTCATTGACGTCGGGCTACGCTACCAGTATCACGGTAACGAGCGATGGCACGAGACACAAAAGATTTATTCACATTTAAATGCTGGAGTGCTCTAACGATAGCCACTTGTGGTTCTCCAGTCAAATATAAAGAAATCAAGCTATCACGCTTGAATTCCATCACGAATAACTTTTTTCGGGTAAATTCTCACCAAAATGCTTTCGTACGCTTGTAAAAAATATAATAAGCTGTCACTGGAATAATTTTAACAGCTGTCAGACGAGTGTCTTTGAAATGACTGCAGTCTGAAGTTGGTTGCAGTTTTTTCATCTCACCCTGTACACCTAAAATGCTCGGATTTCGAGGAGTCTTAACCTAAAATTTTCTAAATGTGTGTCTTCTTTTCTATCTCTATTATCATAATCTGCCGGATTTTTCCCGTAGTTATTGAAAAACTTGCACAGTGTCATCAAAATACCGGAAAATGTGGGCTTATATAGACACTGATCCAGGAAGTTGAACCCATTGCAAATTCTAAGTACCGAATTTTAAACAATTTAATTAGAAAAAACCTATTAATGGGAAGCATTGTTATTTGAGGAATGGAGAAAATAGACATGTGTACAAAATGTCTATCTATTTTCTATCCAAAGTTATTCGTCGTTACAACCGACAGATATGCGAACATCTCTACATCAACTTAGAATTTTTCGCTGATCATGAACGCATAAACTTTGAAGTGTACATTATGATTATTTCAAGGAGTCTAGCGGAGGGTATAAAAAAGTGATAGCAATTTCGAATAACAACAACAACAACTTACATTATTACCATCTACATAAACTGTGGCCACCACCGTTTCGGTTTTAACAACAACATCTTTTCCTTTGCTAATGCCGGTGTGAACCTGTTTTAAATAATCCGGAGGACCATCCCCCGAACCCGTCCAAAAAAAATCTTCCAAATGGACCTCTTCACGTAATTCAGGATAATCATCGCCAAAGTCATCATCATCTGAAAGGAAAAGATAGAATCCAAAAGCAGAAGGCAATTATGTTAATGACAATCAGACATGATAAATGTCGTGTTAATAAACAAAGGCATGTATTTGTTGCTATAGAAATTAAGTTTTTGGTAAAATAGCAAATAAATATGGTTTTTGCTTCGGAAGGGGCATTATATTCCCCCCCCCCCTGGTCTCTTCGTGTGTATTTAAGGATACATATGTAATCGCAATGGCGGGCCTTATTTTTTGAAAGTGTGTCTATTGTTGTTCTGGTTGTTTTGTTGCTAACGTTATGTTTTTCTTATTTGTTGACTATTGCCAACGTTATGTTACCATATTTTTGTTTACTTAGTTTGCTTAGATAGTATTTGTATCTGAAAAGTTTGTTTGATCAATGTTGAAGTCCTCCTTTTTTGTAATGAGGTCTTGTTGAAAGAATGTATGCAAAATTGAGAGAGAGAGAGAAAGAGAGAGATTAGCATGAAAACAAAAAATTATATGAAAACTTTTAAATATCTCACATTTTTGGATATAATCCAACGTGAGCATGAATCCAAAAATGTCAAACCCAGACGGAGAAATCATATTTGACGTATTTCGTAATGAATATTTGGCACTAAAAGTACCTTTACATAAAAATCCCGGTTTAATCCTGATAATTGACCAAGCACAATAAATTTGACTATAGAAATCACACAATCAATCAATTTTGATTGGTAAATTTCACTTTGCGGGGCCGACCTGGTGATACCCTACAACACTACAATATATTAAAAGCCCTCTTATGTCCAAATCCATTTTTGAAGATTTCTCTTTTGAAATTATGTCACGGAACACTGCCCAGATATTACCCTTAGCATTTTGACAAGGGATATTTGTCGAATATTTACGCACTCCGTCGTGCTGTTAATTGTTGTTTTCCATTTTACAGCTAAATATAATCCAATGGTCATCCAAAATACTAGAATTCTTCCTTGTCCTTAACTTTCTTCTCAGGAGTGTCGGCTTCAATTGTATGATCAAGAGATTTTTTCTGTTTTTGGTTCATTTTGCGATCATCTCCAAAAACAAGAGACCCCTACCCCTCCCCAAAAGTTCGCCTTTGTGCATTTCGGATATTGCCTGTAAGTAATGTTGGTATTTTTCAGACAAAAATAGTGATCCATTCTGACCGCTATCCTAAACTCTAACTTTATGCGAGATTTCGTGTCCTTTGGTTTCTATTTATGACCTTTATAACGGCTGCACAATCAGGAACATTTTTAGTTGTTGGTCCATTTCAACCCCTACATATATTGCAGACATCTTTGAAAACAATAGGCCTAGCCCTTCTGAGCCTAACCCTACCCCTTTCGTGAGGATCGGACGATAATTGCAATCTGTCTGTATCCCCAACCTGTGTTGTATGGTGAGAAAATATTACAAAATAAACGCTTCAGTATTATAAGTCAAATTGAAAAAATCGCATGCGATAAAAAATATGAAAAAATAAAAAAATGTCACAAAATACTACAAAATCAATATTATCATCATTATAGGCGTCTTTTTATGCGATTTTTTTAGATTTTATACTTTTATGCCAAGAGGGCATTCTGAATTGACAACATTTGTCAAAATCGGTCCAGCCATTCTTGAGATATATCCATTCTAGCTAAAATCCCCTTCCTTTGGATATTTACATTATATATATTTCGCTCTATATATATGATATATTTACTATCGCCATCTACCTAATGGTCAAAATTGATCTGTTCATTTATGTGTGATTTCACTGGGATTAAAAATATTCGCGGTTTAATGAAAAATTTGTCTTTTATTTAACACAAATAGACCATAACATTGTCTATTTCACCCACTAAATATTACCCGATGACCACCAAAATTGGAAGGCTTCTGCCCAGCCCTAAGCCCTAGCGCCATGCTAACTTCCGCTTCGATTAGTCTATAATTGCGACCAGTAGAGCAACTGCAAAATCAGGAAATTTTTCAGTTTTTGGTCCATTTCAACCTCTTAATATTATGCGATCATCTCCAAAAACAATAGGGTTCTATCCACCTCCATTTTTAATTTCGTGAGGATTGGACCATAATTGTGACCTGTAGAGTGATTACAAATTAACATGGACAGACGGACGGACGGACATACATAGCTAGATCGACTCAGCTCGGCGAGATAGGAAGATCCATATATACTTTCCTATGTGGGAAACCAATATATCGAGGTGTTACACAATTTTTGGCCCAATCAAACTTATAATACCCCAAACACATAGTAGGGTATAACCAGCAGATTTACACAAAGAAAAGCTTAAAATAGAAGACATGTGTATCAGCGCAGGCATGTCATAAGGTTGAGTTTTTTCGAAATTCGTACTAAAATGGTACGAAAAGCACCAAAATATTCTAAAAATTGAATACTTTATATTAGATAAACAGAATGAACTAGAATTCTGGAATGAGATCTCTGTTAGTATCTGGAATCGAGATATGGAGGTGGTTTTGAAAAATGTGTAATATAATTGCACGTGAAGCACTAAATGTGATATTGGATGAAGGAATATAGTCGAAATCCTGAAATTTGATATAGATGAAGCTGTTGGCGTCTGAAGTTAAATATGGTCTCTGTAGATAGAATTATGTACTATAATTGCACTAAATGGTACTAAATTTGGAACTGGGACAAGGAATAGAGCTGAAATCCTAAAACTTGGTATTAAGGCCACTGTTGGCATGTAAGTGCGTACTTTAACTGTACGAAAAGAACTAAATGCTACAAAAATTTCGTATAGGATGAAGGAATGGAGCTGAAATCCTGAAATTTGATATAGATATCACTGTTGGTGCATGTAGTTGAGAGAAAGAGGTGGTTTTGGAAATGCGTACGCAAAGTGCAAAATACCGCAAAATGTTGGTATAGAGATGGAATTCTGAAAGGTGGTATTGAGGTGGTGTCAAGGGTGGAGAAAAAAATGTTATTTTGGATATGCGTAGTATAACTGTACGTAAAGTATGGTAATAAATTTGGGATTGGGTCTTAGAATGGTGCTGAGAGGAGGAGATGGATTTGGGAATATGTAATATTATTGTTGGAAAAGTACCAGATGGTACCTAATTTTCCGTTGAGTGAATGGATTGAGCTTGTATCCTGAAATTTGAAATGAACGTCATTGTTGGTTAGTAGGATTTATATATGGTCAATTTGTATACCCGACACCCCACTGTGGTACAGGATATTATGTCTTTGTGCATTTGTTCCTTTTGACGATCTACGTAGAATTATGTCCTGAATTCGTCAGTCTGTCCCTGTACAAATGTTTCATCCGATTTGGGGTTCAAATCGCCGACACTCGTAATATTCACTCTAAAACAGTGATATTTGAAACCAGATATTAGATATACTCCAGAAATATTTCTGTCTAATTTCAAAAAGATCAGTTCAGATTTGGATGTAGTTTCCACATACAGGGTTGCCCATATTCGACGGACCCATCTGGCAACGCCATAACTTTTGACAGAGATGTCACATCGCTTAATGACATACCGCGTTTGAAGCGTCAGTCCAAGCAGATTTTTACCATGAACCAATACACGCCACGCGAACGCTCTGAAATAGTTGAAATTTACAAGAAGTCAATTGTCAAAACTCAACGTGCTTTTAAAACATTAAAAAATGTTAGAAGCATTCTAAGAATACCATTAAGCGTTTATACGAAAAATTTTCCCAAGAGGTCCCCAAGAACATCCCAAAAACGCCGTTCTCAGCAGTTGGGCATGGCTCGGTCCACTTTACAACGAATTATTCGCATTGATTTTCATTTTTCCCCTACAAAATTCAATTGACGCAAAGAATGTTGCCTGCGGACAAGCCTCGTCGATTGGAATGGGCCCAAAGGGATCAAAGGTCCGCGGATATGGGCAACTCTGTACATCTTTATCCGATTTAAAATTTTTTGTGCACCAAATTGTTAATATCAGCCAAGTTTTACTCAAATGTGTATTATGTCTGCAGGACTTTTGGTATTAAAAATGGACCATGTAGGTCCACGTCTTCGTATAGCCCCCATATAATGGTACATCCCGATATTCGGTATGTTAATGATTTTATGGACATTTTTTCACCAAAATTGCTTCAAATTGGGTATTTGAAGTTCGTAATGGATACTACAGCCTAAGACAGAAAATTGTTTGTGCAGGTCCACGTCTTCGTATAGCCCCATTATAAGGGTACCTCCCTATTTTCGGTATTTTAATAATTTTAGGGACATTTTTTCACCAGAATTGTTTCAAATTCGGTATTTGAAGTTCGTAATGGATACTACAGCCTAAGACAGAAAATTGTATGTGCAGGTCCACGTCTTCGTATAGCCCCATTATAACGGTATCTCCCGATATTCGGTATTTTAATGATTTTTGGGACATTTTTCACCAGAATTGTTTCAAATTTGGTATTTGAAGTTCGTAATGGATACTACAGCCTAAGACAGAAAATTGTATGTGCAGGTCCACGTCTTCGTATAGCCCCATTATAACGGTACCTCCCGATATTCGGTATTTTGATTTTATCGACATTATAACCGATTTTTTTTTTAAGTTTCGCATTTGAATATTATAATGGTTTATGACAAATGTTACCTACGCAGGTTCATGTCGTCGTATAAACCCTAATATAATAGCTACATTCGGTATTTTTAAGATTTTAACAGAATTTTAATTCGTTCCAAATGGTGGAATGTATTTAAAGTTCGGCCCGGCCGAACTTACTGCTTTTTACTTGTTTTTTTTTTTTTTTTGTTTATATATCAAAATCATTGCAATTGTTTGAATTGTTTTGGTTATTTGATAATAAACAACTTGTTGAATTGTTCTGATATTAATTCTGACATAACAATCCATACAGGTTGGCCTCTTTACTTGCGAAAATTGGCAACTCAGTCTACCTTCCTTTCACGGTTTTAACCAATTTCAAATTTAGACCGCTCTAAATCCGTAATACGGATGAATTTTGACA